GTACACTAACGTCTCGTTGGTTTGGTTACCGGCCGGTAACCGTCCGCGGGATAGCAAACAGGGTTACGGTAGGCGCTCGCCGCGGAGCAAAACCGAACCCGGACCACTCGCCTGGGGCAAGCGCCATAGGCCAATAGGCCATGAGGAGACAAGGAGGGGAGGCGGAGAGGGGATATGAAGGGTCGGTCCATCTAACGACAAAGGACCAAATTCACGACCACGAACTACTTTTTAAGCGAGATTTTAGTGTACCTTTAAGCAAAATTCGGGAAATTTCGATAAGAAAATTCTATAGCCAAGTTTTGAAATCTTTTTTGAGCAGCGCCAATCGCGCCGTCTTGACTTAAAATGATGCCGGTTATGTCCTTATTTCATGCCTTTTCCTAGTGACACAGTTATTCGCAAACAAGCCTTTAATATAGATTTTGCAGCTCATAGATGCATGTGCAATACATTATACCGTTTCTCTTCATTTATACCGTCTCTGGATTCTGCCCCGGGGCTTCGGATTGGGACCCGTCGGGCACAAAGTGTTACCATGTGACCCCGATGAAGATGACGTGGCAGCGGCGATGGATTATTGTAACAAGTCAGTTTCTCTACACAATTTTTCACGGTGGCAGAGAAGCCCTGGGGCGAATGTTGAACGTTTATGAACTTTTTAGCCTCGGCATGACTGGGGCCTTCAATTCTCCAAGCCGATGAAAGTCACGCTTTTGGTAAGACAGGCACGCAGAAAAATTGAGAGTTGCGTTAACATTTATCAAAAACGTTTATTCAGATTTAGGACTCCACAAGGAGAATGGGTCTGTGGTTGGGCCGGATATTATAATGGTAGTCACGTGGAATGGAACGCGACGGTTCAGAAGCTGCTGCGTACAGTTTCCGGAAAAACGTAAGATTTCTCCTAAACGATTCCAGAATCACACACTTTCTTTAGGTTATCAAACCTGCCCGGATACCTGGCGATAAGTCTGAAGGACCAGAGTTGGCATACCGATCATAAGGCAACGTACGCGGCGGCTTGCGTGGGATATCGTGAGGTAGTTTAATTGTAGTAATACAGAACGTTCTGAGTAACACAAAAAATCCTTGCGCCGATAATGGTGGCTTCGCAGTAACGATAACAGTTTTATATTTTTAGGAGGACTTTTGCATCTCCGGCCGTCCCATTCCCACCCCTGCGACCCGGAATGGATGTATTCCCCAGATACCATGGGATGCTATAAAAAGGTTTTCTTACGCAAAATCTAGAAAATGACAATATTTAGCCTGATCGGCGTTTGATGGCTTCACCTGGCCCGAGGCGCGGAATCGAATGCGCGCCGCTTTGGGGAGCCGAGCTAACTTCAATCCATTCTGATATGAGAGGAAAATCGGATCGTTACAGGTATTGGGCGTACTTTAAGGCTTCTTGGGGGGCTCGAGCGCTGCGATAGTTTGTTTCTGGCAGCGATTTGGTATCAAAAGCGCGGGTGAGGCCATGCGCGGAGATCATCCCATCCTATAAGCGAGAAAAGTATGTGTGTTTTCAGCAAAGACGATTTCTCGGGTCCCCTCTCAGGCCGAATTTCCGGCTGATTTTTGGCATGGCTGGGTGGAGAAACACATTTGCCAGGACACGCATTTTTTTGTTTTTCGAAATTCCTTGATTTAACGATTTTACAAACAAAAATGGTGAAAATCCTTAACAAAATGGGCGATGAGCCGTGGTGTTCGGGGCATAACTCAGTCGCCCAGATGGAATTTCGGTCTGTAATTTGGAACCACTTATGTATACGATAAAGTGGGGATCACGCATCTTGGCTACTTTTACAAATTTTTGGCGCATTCAGTCTAAAATAAAGTGATTTTCGTAAAGTTACCAGGAAACCCTCCTGCCGGGTTGATCCGGCCCCAGGACAGAAGGGGCCTTTTCCTGCTACCCGTCCCTATGCCGCTTCTGGTATAGAGTGGTTTTGGCGCCTGCTCTACTGTGCGCATAATGGAGGGTTCGGATCCTCGGTGAACGTAGCTTTTGCTTTTGATAGTTCAACAACAAAACATTTTCGAGGCTTCCCCTTCGAACTTAGAGACGAGTCCCTCGCCTAAAGCGCCGCCGGCCAAAAGAAGGTCCTTGGCCCGGCCTCTAGCGCCGCAGGCCAAAATGCTGGAGAAAAACCAGCAGCCAGCGCGCCGCAGGCCAGAGATCGGTTCCCAGAGTCAGGCTCTCGCGCCGCAGGCTTTGGAAACGGAAGGGGAATATGGTTCCTAGACGAGGCCAGTGAGAAGGTGCTAAGCCGCGAAGCGAAGTCTTTTCCACTGGTAGTTCATACGCCGAGTTTTAGCCAGCATCTACACGCTGTTTTTGCGTAGCGATTTACTTCTGGTTCTAAAAACCGGTGCTTACAACTCTTCTGACCTTCAACCGGGCGTACTGTCACTTTCCCCTTAATTTCTAGAACTTGCCGATACATACGTGCATGGGCGACAGGGCAACTATTACAAGCTGGACCAAGCTGGAACGTGGTTTTGGTGGGAAGCGGGTCGGTCCTTAGAAGATTTAGAAAATTTAAGAAAGCAAAGAAGGCCTTGCTTCGGTTCAACAACCTATTAATGCTTCGCCACCCATTTTCAGATGGGGCCCGGAATGAAAGGACTTTGCCTGGACCGATGGTAGCCGATTCGAATACGCAAAGGTGGGCCAGTGGCCAGCCCGACAATCACCGAAATGCGCAGTATATTCAGGTGCGTAGCGCTTGATCTTGGTTTTCTTGATTAGCTGCGGTGCCGACACGTTGCGGCCACGTCGCGTATCGAGCTTATCGTGAACTAGTAAAGAGAATGACTCAAATTGTTTTCAGATCTACACAACCCGTCTGGAGGAATACAGCAATGACGACAAGTTATACCTGAACAAATGGGACGACATTTGGACGAGTGCCAAGGGATATAATGCTGTCTGCAAAAGAAGGCGCGAGATTGAGAAAACTTTGTAATAAATTTGCATAAAATTTGACGGATAAGGCTGAGGAAGCGTACACTTGTTCTTGAGCCAGGATAAGGATAACACTCCGAAAACAAAGCTAATCAGCCTCCTCGGTTCTAATTGTGTGCAAATTTTGATGAAATACTTCGGGTTTATTCGCCTGTCCGAGAAAAGTCGCCTGTCCGAAAATCACTTGTCCGAAAAACTAATGTCGAAACAGCTAATCAAAACACTTTTCATCCGCCGCCTCCTGGTGCGTTCGGAAATCACTATAATATCAGAATTCTCAGGTTTCCAGAACGGCAGCTCAGCAGCTGCAAAAAAAATCAAGGAGGCCGGGCTGATGTGCGTCATGGCAAAACAGGTAAATTCCGATTTTCAGATCGATCGTTCTATTTTCACGGAAATCAATTTAGATGCTAGTAAACCATGGCTCTGCCTTCATCCTCTCCGTGCCAACAATATACTATTTTTGCCTGATACCAACCGCGCTGACCGGTCAAGCCGGACTCGGCGACGGCGCATCCTGGCATCCTACTATATATAAAAAATAGTGTTTGTGTGTGTGTGCGTGTGTGTTCATTTGCATGCAACTTCCGTCCGTATGTTCCAGTCGTATCTCAATAAAGGAAGTAGTTAAGGGTATACCTGATACGTCATTAGGAGCGTAATGGTCATGACACGACTGCACACCCAGCAGATTTTTGAAAAACAGCTGTTTTCGATATTAAAATTGGTTTTTGTGAAAATCACGCCGACCTCTTTGTTAAGGAATCAATTAGCATACGCCGGAAGTGAAAAGAGTCCATATAAAGGCGGGATGGCGAGTGATTTTCATTTTTGTTCAGGGCAGGCGACCGTGATTATGCAGTTGGGCCATCATGGGGCCTAGACAGGGCCAGGGTTGAAAGTCGGCAGCCTTTCAACCCTGGATATTATATTTAATTATCAATAATATTTTTGGATTTTGCAAATTCTTTAAAATAGCTGTTTTATGAGCATTTTTCCAAAAACTCCTTAACAAAATGGGCCATGAGCCGCGGTGTCGGGCTATAACCCAATTCACATGGCAATTTGGACCTGTATTTTTGACCACTTATGTGTTCAATGTTGAGGATCACGCGCATGATATTATCTTTACAAAAATTCAGCCAGCTTCCACCTAAAAGTTTAATTTTGTAAAGTGGCCTGAAGGCAACGTGCATGTTGGAGAGGTCTGGGGGCTGCCC